TTTTTGGGAATAACTGTTTCAAACAATGGCCTCAAATAAAACTTTTGATTAAGTGTTTTATGAAACAAAAGTTCTGAACGAATAATTAGATTAAAAATAAAAATTCTAATTGTTGTCGGAATATAGGGATAGACTCTATGCCATTGAATCAGACATAAAGGAAATTTATAAGAGGTATTAAATACAAACAATTCATTAATTCAGTTAAACATTAATTTTAAAAACATAATTAACTCACAAAAGCATTGTTTGCATGCAATTGAGATGAAATAAATGGATATTTTTGGGAATAACTGTTTCAAACAATGGCCTCAAATAAAACTTTTGATTAAGTGTTTTATGAAACAAAAGTTCTGAACGAATAATTAGATTAAAAATAAAAATTCTAATTTAGAGAGAGAGACGAGAGAGAGACGAGAGAGAGAGAGAGACGAGAGAGAGACGAGAGAGAGAGAGAGAGAGACGAGAGAGAGAGAGAGAGAGAGAGAGAGAGAGAGAGACTACTACTGACTGTATATGAAAATTTTAAATTCAGTACAAGCGATAAAATTTTTCTAAATATTTGACTTATAATTAAAATTTTTAAACAAATGATTCAAATGACTGGAGCTGTGATGGAAATAATCAGATGAATAAGTAATAAGTATTGCATTAAGTAATGAATTTTGTCATCAAAACAGTTTGATTAATGAGATGTTTATCTTAAGAATAAGGAAATCATATATAAAATGATAAATCGTCTGGTTTTAGGTTTGCTTTTGTCAGAAATTGCTTTTTAAGAAATCCAGAGAATATTATTATATATTAAGCAAACTTTTAAAAGAAAATTATTGCTTTATAACTAAATTTCTACTCTTAAAGGAGTTTTAAATAAATTTAAATTACTTGTTTTAAAATGATTAAATATGATATTTAAATTTTATATAAAAATTTATGGTTCTTAAGTGATTGAAAACGGTAAATTAAAATGACATTTCAAAGGATATTTTGATTTACACTCAAATTATTGATTTGTTTATGGGATTGAAACCAAACATTTATTTTCTAATAAAAGTTTTGGAGTATTTTATGGTAGTTTGAAAATAATTAGAATAAGTGGTTATCAAATATTAGACTAATAAATTAAATAGGTATTTATTACACATTTTAAATTATAAAATACTAAAATAACAGGTTGTCTTCTCGCTAACATTATCACAATTGCACCTAGAGCAATTGATATCACAATTGCACCTAGAGCAATTGAATATTAAAGACTTATAAAAAAAATGCAAACATCATGTTTAGCTATTTCATTGCAATCATATACCGGTAATAAATGTTACGATTAGAATTGTTTATACATTTGTCATTTTCAACACAAATATCTTTAAATAGTTTTAAGTATTTACTGTCAAATTCATACTCCAATACTGTGTCATCATTTATAATCAATTGTTTAATAGAATAGTCAACAAAGTGAGGAACGGTAGTGTCGGGTGCGGTCTTATGGATCAGTACCGACCGTCAGTTTAGGCCATAAAAGAGGATCAGTTATGAAGAAGTGTTTCATAGTTTGCATTCATTTGTCACATATTATGCATAAATGATAGCAAATAAAGTGAATCAACAGATAGTGTGTGACATACCATCGGAAGAGATGGCTTCGATGACGAGCACCGGTAGCAGAGATGTGTAGGGTTTGAGTGTGTGGTGAGAGGTTTGGCTGATTAGCACCGATTGACTCAATTGATGGTGGGATGAGTTGAGGGAAGTGTCGCCCAAACTACCATTAAATGACAAATTATGAGCACATCTCACGTGACATTGCCATCAAAACGAGTCAATACTTACACATTAAATGACTTCAAATAGGATTTATTGAATGATTGATCCAATGATTGGTTGCTTTGATTGAATGGATTGAGTGGTGTCCTAAAGCTCATGGATGTGTCGTAAGGAGAACGCCCGGTGGGGCCCCGTCTGGCACCCGACCCATACATCTCACGACCGCTCACTAAATCACTGAATCAGTCAATCACTGCCCACACAATGCACTCAACGGTAGACACCGTAACACCGAAACACATGTCATTCAAAATGTGACCACAAATGCACTCAACACCAGATGTCAACACTTATGATATGTTCACAAAACCTGTTACAAAGACACTTAATATTTTGCACCCCTTTTACTTATAGCATACGATATTTGCAAAGCCCATGTATTACACTATATTTGTATGCGTTTACGACTTGTCAAAGCGTATTGTTTTGTAAATATTTGAATCAATTGTTTGCAATTGAATTGAATTGTGATTAAAATCATTGAAATCAGTGATAATGTCATTCAATCGTGACATCTCTGAAATAAATATTTAGATAAGAAATGTGTAAAAATAAATGTCTCATACGAGCTGTTAGTATAAGGAATGAAATGAATATTCTTTTAACGTTGGACTCAATGAGTGTTTGTATGGATAGAAAGTATTCGTAACATTAGGGAAGCCTTTAGTCAATATTGGGAGCGATATTAACCTTTTTTTGAATTACATACAAAAACACAGTGAAGTTAGCTCTGAGTTAATGTTCTTATCATAACATTGGGCTGATATGTGGGCCCAAACACGTCAAACCCAATACTACACTCTTAAGACAACTCCAGTAAATGACTTCTCAACAAATATTTTCTTTTTATGATTCCCTAGTATTTAATCAAACAAATCACTTCATCCGTAGTTTATATGAAATTGTTTTACATTTCGGTTCAATTTATCATTTCGTTATGTTTGGCAATAGAAATAACTTTTGGACACAACACTAACTAATGTATGCTTTTTATCGTAATTCTGGATATAATAAGTCATTAACTATGAAATGATAGAGTATTGAATGGCAAACGGAGTTGTGGACAATACTAGTAGTCAAACAACAAAATTGATTGATTTCACTTAAATCCCATTTCATATAAACTATGGCCTTATATTCGGCTTTATATGATCTTTATATGGAAAAACAATAAACAGAGTAATCAACGCCTTTTCCACTCAATTTATGGCTAACTTTCACTATTATTGGACTCAACGATAGCCTCAGTTTCTGACAACTATTTCATAAAATAATTTTTTAATAAAACTAAAAACTTATTCAAATAGTGCACTAACAAAATTACAGTGTATATTTGGGCAAAATCGATACTACCCTAAATAAATAACTTAATAATAAAACCAAATTTCCATTGAATGAAAATGAGATAACGGTTGGACTTAAGGGAACAGCGATTACAAAAACATTTGAGTCAATAAATTAATTACTTTATGCGAGAAATACTTTCAGTCAATAGTCTAATCAACTAAAAAACAAAACAATGCCTCCGATGCAGACATTAACTCAAAAAAGTGATGAGAAAAGAGAAAATTTATGATATATTTTATATATTAATCAAACATTTCATAGCATTTGTTTGACAAGAATTACATAAATTTAAAGTTTGCAATAAAAAGGACATAAAAATCTAAATAACGAGCGCATGAATGATATCATTGAGGAGAAAGACAATCGATTTGAGAGATAAGTTGTGCTAATATTACGGCACAAGTATTGTCAGCGATATCTTCGGCTAACTTTCAGCTCACGTCCAATGAAGTGGACATTCAATTAATTTATCCTTTTGTGTCATTCAATTCATTTTAATTGCAATGCATTTCTGATAACGAATTACTTATTCAAGACATTCGCAAAGGATTGCATATTATTTTACATAAAATAATTGTATAGAAAAGAGTTGATATGAAAGCAAAAAACAACTTATATTATAGTAAATGTATTCGCATTTTAATGCATTCGCCGACGACTGAGATATCTTTCAAAACACATTATAATATTCAAAATGCTTTCGCATTAGGTTTTAAGAGAAAAGTTTTGCTCACAAAAAAGACTCAAAAAATATTAATGTTATGACATATAACTCATTGGATCACAAATTTCCGTAAGAATACTGAATTCGAGATTTAATTTTTGATAACCCAGTGATAAATGGTTTTAAAAAGCAAATAATCAAAACGCAAAATCCCGTGACGTTTAACTGATCTCTCTTTTAGACATTAACCGGGAATTAAAGCTAAGTTTTATACACTTTTTTAATCAAAGATAATGCTATCATCTCTTGTGTCCAATCGATAAAACGGCACAAAAAGCAAAACAATCGTTACATCAGACGACTTATTATGACATTTTGATATACACTATAATATATTGAATCATTGTATCCGTAATACACTAATGTTTGAAGGGGTGACCAACGGCTACTCAACCATTGATATACAATCAGACATCTCTTAATACAATCAATGAGTGCTTCACATAAACGCCTTTTTCCGATTCAATCCATTTGTTAAGTGAATGTCTATTTGTTTGAAATTAATTAATAATTTGGAAATAAAACGATCGAAAATCTAATTTAATATATCATACAGTATTATATGAATCAATGTCTGGCTTTATATTTGGTTCACTTTTTGTTTTATAAAAAGTATTAAACATCTGAAAGCAATGCTTTATTAAAGGATTATAAAAAAGATAATAAATAAATGGCATTAGTTTCAAGACAAAGTATTGTCACTATACTAGTGCACAGAATATACAGAATCTATTCATTTTGTGACCCTTTTTAGGGAAACAAAAACATTAAAACAAATTAATTTGTGGATAAAGATTAAAAACAATGAAATAAATGGATATTTTTGGGAATAACTGTTTCAAACAATGGCCTCAAATAAAACTTTTGATTAAGTGTTTTATGAAACAAAAGTTCTGAACGAATAATTAGATTAAAAATAAAAATTCTAATTGTTGTCGGAATATAGGCATACTCTATGCCATTGAATCAGACATAAAGGAAATTTATAAGAGGTATTAAATACAAACAATTCATTAATTCAGTTAAACATTAATTTTAAAAACATAATTAACTCACAAAAGCATTGTTTGCATACAATTGAGACGAGAGAGAGAGAGAGAGAGAGAGAGAGAGAGAGACGAGAGAGAGAGAGAGACGAGTCTCAGATATCTGTATAACAAAAAACGAGAGAAAGAAATGAATAGAAAAATGAAAAGAAATGCATAATAAGAATGAAAGGGAGAGAAAAATGTAAAGAAAATCATATTTTTGTGTCCCTTTTGTGTGCGCGAGGGCTCAGACATCGGATATAATATTTTTGTGTATGTTTTCTGTATATATTTTATTGTGTTTTTTACTTATGATTATATTTTTGTGTTCAATGCAATGGGAATTAAGGGGTAGTGGCTAATCGTGAGCTGCACAGGTATGTGTTGTATTTACAAAATGCACACATTGGTGAGCACCGGTGTGTTTTTGTCACTAATACCTTATGGAAAGACTTGGTTTTCAATTAAGCAAATTCTGAGGTGAATAAAAGGTATTGAAAAGACCGGTAAGAGATACCTGTCCATAGGCTTAAGCATTGGGAGATCGAAAGGGGAGGGTATGGGGCCCAGGTATAGGGGATTTGTACATACAGTGTTCAAACATATTATCTGTTGGATTGTGTGATGAACCAAAGATTTGTTATTTGCTTTTGCGGTGAAAACATATAATTATAAAAACAGCGATATTTGTTGAGTTTCGCACAGAATTACATATCATTTGTGTGTAAAGAATTGCATTTCATTTTGCATATATGTGCAAATGAATAGTGTGACGGCACTGGTAGGTATGACCTGTCCCTCACACATACGTGTGTCTCACAGAGGGCTAGAATATGATAGAGAAAACATGCAATCATTTGTACGTTTCATAGGATATGTCCGACAAATAGTATTTATTTATGATTTTTTGTGTCGACTTTTATAATAGCCTTTCGGTTATAATAATAGAGAAATTTGTTGTTATTATAGCTCTTTTGCAAACAAATTATTCGTAGTTTTTGTGTGCGATTCCTGTGAATCGGTTTTGAATTTTAAAAATTGAATTTTTCTTTTCTCATCGTTTTTATAATCTCTTCTATTATGTGATAAACAAATATAAGAAAAACTTGATTTTTAAATATATATAAAAATATTTTATTTTAGTATTGAATCGAGAAATACAAGACAAAAGTCGTTTTCTCAGAAGCCTTTTGTCGACGAATAAAATATTTTGTGAAATAAATGTTAATAAAAAGTATTATTGAATAAAATATTTTTTCAAAGGGGAGAGAGAGAGAGAGAGAGAGACTCTGTTAAGTCATCCGACAGAATGTTTTCTGAGAAAAAATATTTCATTTTATTATTATTTATTCTTTTACTCACATATTGTTTACAATTCATATAATAATAAGAGAAAACTGGTAAAAATCTTAAGAAACTCTTATAAATAATTCAAATAAAAAATTTATTGTTTTTGCTTACAGTGCGGGACAGGGATGCCGAGTGAGTGAATGGCTGTGAAAATGCAAAGTATTGCATATTTCCATCATTGCTCACAATACTTTGTATAACTTATGGCTAGAAAGCAACCAAACGCTAAATGCACTCATATTATGGCAAAAGAGTCTTATCAAACAAATTCTGTATAAAACTTGTATAAAATAAAAATTGTGTAAAAATTGTAATTACATGCAAATGAATGGCTTTCTATTTGCAAACAAAACATTAAGCATTGAAATCATCTCAAGAATAATACACGGAATAAGTTATTATTGAAGCAAAAGTTTATGCATAAGTTTTTCATTTATTTTGTGTGATTTGTTTTTTGCAGTCTCTCTCTCTCTCTCTCTCTCTCTCTCTCTCTCTCCTTTCGCTCAGATCTCATCTCATCCTTCATTTGAGTCAATGAATAGGAAACGAAAAAAAGTTTTTTATTTTACTATTTTTATTCGTCTGTAAAATAAATAAAAGTCTAAAAAAATCATATTTTGTGAACAATTTTGTATACAATAATAATGATAACAACACAACAGTAGATAATGAAGTGAATTGAAAACTACACACAAAAAACAGCAAAAATTGTATAAAAAAGTAATTTGTAGTTAACCTTTCGTTACGAAATATAAGCGCATATTTGGCATAAAGTGAGTGAAAAAAGTAATGAAATTTTTACATAAAATACATATAAAAAGAGTTGAAAAT